CAAGCCACTCCAAACTCTGTACCAACTGTACCACAGTTGCCCAGCTCTGATGCTTTTGCTGCTGTGGCTCAACTTTTTCAGACAACTCAAGGCCAACAGGTAAAATGTTTGTTCTATGATTAAATTGTTTGCTGGGTTAGGTACTCTTGTAAATTCTTTTTTTCTATTCCTCATTAATGAACACATTCAGGGGAGAAAACATCTACTTTTCAACCAGAAAAGCCTCCATGAGGGAGATAATGACATAGGAGTAATAGGGAAAATGCAAAAGTGAAAAACAAGGGAATAGTACACTTAGAAATAGCAGTACCTCTTTAAAGAGAACTTCTAAGTGGCTGATGTTGCTAACAATTCTAGCATTTCTGATTGATTTCAAAATTATTTGGATTAGAGAGAACTTTTCCATTTTTCTAGAAAACTTAACATTTACCTTCCTCACAATTTAGTGTATTTTCTCTTCTCATGAACCATCATTTTATATCATTTAATTTGTCAGCATACGTTTTTAACCTTACGTGACATATATTCATAACAACAAACTTAACCATGAGTTACAGGAGGGTTTTTTTCCCCATTTACTCTGCCTATACTATTTTGAGTCACCTTTTAAGATTTTTTTTTTTAACTAAATTAACTTTTGATGCTATGATTATACTTTGTTGTGTGGTTTATCAGTCTTCCCTTTCTCTAAGCTTCAGCAGATCCTTCAGACTTTTCAGCAGCCTCCAAAACCACAATCTCCTGCCCTTGACAATGCTGTGATGGCTCAGGTTCAGGCTATCACAGCTCAGTTAAAGACAACCCCTACACAACCACCTGAGCAAAAAACTGCTTTCCCCCCACCTGAACAAAAGACTACATTTGACAAGGTATGCTTCTCTTACATTTAACTTGCCCCACCATTTTTATTGCTCAACATGTTTTGTGGAAGTTATCCCTTCTATATTTTTTTTATGAATTGTTTTGTGATTTGAACTACTTTATCCCTCAACATCAACATACTAATTATTTTTCTTGGTTTTAAATGTAATACATACTCAATTTTCAGGGAGTAAAAAGAAGAAAATTCATTACCTCCATACTTGGAAATTACTATAGTAACTTTGCTGTATATCTTTTCAGAATTAATTTCCTATATTCATGTGCTTTTCTATACCTGCTTGTTTGGGTCTGAATGTGCTTGTCTCTTTTTTTACTGTTGTTAAAGTTTAGTGAATTTAGATCTACATTTATACTGAATGCATATAATCTATAGTATTCCAATGAATGTACTACACTTTAGCCATTCCACTACTGATAAGTC